CTCATACCTGTTAGTGTGAGAATATTGTCGCAGGCATTTTTGCGCCTGCGCGGCACATTGATGGGCACAAAGCCGATGGAAACGAGCAGCTCCAGATACTGGTACTTGAGGTCGGCTATCGTCTCGAGTGTGTTCAGCGAGAGAAAGTGCTCAGTGGCATAGTTCCTGCTGGCTGCATAGTTTCCCCTACGCGCCACATCCAGCCATTTCTTGGAGAAATTAACCATTTTGAAGATTTAAGAAGTCAAATTTTTGATGGGGGAATGATAGATTACTCACTCGATAGGCATTCAGGACGGTGAGATGATCGCTGTTGCCCAGGGCGAACATGCGTTTGCACTTGTCCGCCTCCGTGCGCTTGCTGAGCGGACTGACGAACGGCGACTTGTTGCTCAGACAGGCGGCGATGGTCAGCACGCTGTCCAGGCACTGGAAGATCGCTCCGTACAGCATCAGCTTGCCGATGCGCACGTCCACGGGCAGGGCGGCCAGATGATGGCCCAGCGGTGTGAGCTGATCCTCTGCATCCAGTGCACCCACATCCCGCAGACGTGTCAACGCACCCAACACACTGTCCTCCGTGGGCGCCTCCAGCGTTTCGAGGAGAACCGAGAGCGTGTTACGCGAGGCGAACGTCTGCAGCGTCTTGATGCGCAGCACAATCTGCTCGAGCGGCACACGCTGGATCTCTGGCACCGGTTGGGCCAGAATGTGCTGGTGGTAGCGGTGACTCGTGTACAGGTGTATGCACACGCCCGGCATTACACGGCCGGCACGACCCTTGCGCTGTTTGGCATTGGCTCGAGAGACCCAGACCAGGTCCAGCGACTCCATGTTGCGGTTCGAGTCGAAGCACTTCTCCTTCATCAGGCCGCAGTCCACAACGAACACACAGTCGTCGATGGTCACCGAGGTCTCGGCTATGTTCGTGCTCAGCACGATCTTTCGCTTGCCGGGCGGTGCCTTCTTGAAGACCAGCGCCTGATCCTCGCCAGAAAGGGCCGAGTGCAGGGGCACCAGAACGAATTTGCCGGCTCGTGGCGAGAACAGGGCATGATCCAGCAGGGAATCGTGCACGGTTTGGATCTCCCCAAAGCCGGGCAAAAAGATGAGAATGGTTCCCTCGCGCGGCCAATCGTGGGCGCCCTCAACGATGTACTTCAGCACGGATTCGATCAGTTCCGGGTTTATGGTCATCGGCTCCATCAGGTAGATGCTCTTACACGTTGGCTTGCTGTACTCTAATGGGGGGTTTAAAAACGAGAGACTAACAAGGTAGGCTATTGGTTTGCTGCTGGATTGGACAGTGAACTTACCCGCGTAACGCTGATAGGTCTCGGCAAGGGTGAGCTTTTCATCCTTGATATTCTTACCGGGAGCCTGGCCAGAGGCCTGCACGTCGGCATACTCCAACTCGCGCTCCAGTACGTCCTGCTCGTGCTTCTTTAGTTTGCGGCAGTACTTGGTGTCGTACTCCATGACAAAGTCGCTCATCTCCAGGATGTCCTCCAGGAAGAACTGCTGAACCGGATAGGTGCGTCCTGGTATATCTAGCACGGGAGCACCGCCAAAGTAGTCCGAAAAGAGTGCGGCATTCAAAGTGGCCGACATGAGGATGACTTTGAGATCCTTGCGCTCGCGCAGCAAATTCTTGAGGATGAGCAATAGGAAGTCGGACTCCTCGGAGCGTTCGTGCACTTCGTCGACAATGACATGGGTAACGCCTTCCAGCAGTGGATCGGAGGCCAGTCGGCGCAGTAGGATGCCCGTTGTGCAGAAACTGAGGCGCGTGCTCTGCGACACCTTGTTCTCCAGCCGGATCTGATAGCCCACCAGCTGGCCAATGCGATCCAGACGCTCGGCAGCCACCCGTTCCGCCACTCCGATGGCCGAGAGACGTCGCGGTTGTGTGCAGATGATCTCCACGTGGGGCAACTGCTCCTTGGCCGGCAATTGTAGGGCCCTGAAGAACCAGTTGTCCAAGATGAACTGCGGCACTTGGGTACTCTTGCCGCAGCCCGTTTCGCCGGATATCACCACCACCGGCGATCGTTCGATCAACGCTAATATGCGCTCAATTTCGGCAAAAGCGGGCAGCTGTTTCCGGCCATCGATGACCTTCTGGTAGCGCTCCTCCTTTCGCCGCTCCACAAACTGCTGCAGCAGGCGACGATTCTCGCGTGCCTGGGCCTCCGCATTTCGCTGACGACCGCCCTCATTGCGGGCGGTTTGCCCGCGGGCGTAGTGCGACGGTTTGGGTGCCTGCTGGTGATCCGCATCCCGATCCGCTCCACCGCCCTCCGGCTCGTCGTGGAAGATGGAGTGCTTGGGCGAGGGAAAGGCCGAGGTGTCCAGACGACCGGCCAGCTGTTCGTTCGACTGCAGCAGATCGCAGATGCTGTACACGCAGGGAATGCCATCGCGACATATCGCTCTGGCCTCCCGGTACAAATGGCGCGCGTAGCGGAGGCGCAGCTCGTGCGGAATGTCGTGGCAGGTGGTTTTCAGGTAAATGAATGGCGCCTCGTACGGATAGCGACTGCCCGGCGGAAAGCGCACCTCCACGTGGAACCACAGCTCGTTGTCGTTCTCGTCAACGGTATCTGAAAGAATTTGGAGGGAGCAGGGTACTGTGATTAGATGAGTTCCTTCTTTAATCCCCACACTATATTTAGTTGGTGCCCAAAAATTGTTGGGAAATCTTCTAACCGTGAAGAATATATATTAAGTACTTACACTATCATTATTGTATAATATAAATATATTACTTAATGAAGTATTAAATAAAGACACCCTTAATATTGTATCATTGTCTAGTTACCTCAAAACAGGAACATAAGGTAGTTACTAATGTTATTAGATATAGGAACTCCATATTATGTTGAACAATTTTTAAGCAAATAGATATATTATAAGGTATAATTGCTTATAAATTATTCTGAATTCCCAGTTTCGAATCAATTTGTACAATTAAAGTTACTAATTAAATGCGTCAGGTATCAGTAGCCTATATAGTCCCATAGCCTATATAGTCCCATATAATCCTAGCTGGACAACTCACCCTTCTTGGGCGTGTCCGTTTCCGTGGGCAGCGGTGGCAGGTGGGCGAAGCGGCACTTGGGGCCGAACTTGCAGGTGCCGTCGCGGTCGAAGTTGCGGCATCGCTGCGGAGCCTTCTTCTTCTTGTCGAGCGCCGCCTGGGCGGCGGCGGCAGCAGCGGCGAGGACCGCCTCCCTGGCCTTCCGCACCTCCGAGGGACTGTGGGCCAGCAGGTGGTCGATGCGGAACTTGAGGTTCCACACGCTGTTAGCCTCGCGCTCCTCATACGTGCCCTGATCGTAGATGGACTCGAGGGCTTCCTTCTCCTCCGCGCGCATGTCCAGCAGTTCCTGTTCGCTGGGCGGCTCCAGGGTCAGCTGCTCCTCCTTCTCCTTCTCCTCCTCCTCGTCGGGGATCCTCATGTAGCGGCGATAGAGCAGCAGAAGCGCAGCCTCCGTGTCGCCGGCGCAGTGTTCATAGGCCTCCAAACAGTGGACGGCCTGGAAGCCGTAGTTCTCCAGCTTGGCCAGGGCATAGCGGCGCAGGCGATCCGCATCGCTGTCGCTGTTGCCACTCGCGGAGCTTCTCACGCCCTGGACACTCTGGACCATTAGGGTGCCACGATCCTGCCAGTAGGAGTGCTTGACACCGTGGCCACCGCGTCCGCGATCCTTGTACTTGCTGATGTCGTCCAGCTGGAAGTCGGGACCATGGATTTGGCGCAGTGTGTCCATGGTCATTTGGCGGGATTCGTCATTTAGCCGGAGGACATGCAGCTCCGTTTTGCGCGACTTGTTGTCCGACGCCTGTGACTTGGGCACCGCTTGCACGTTGCTATTTGTTGGCCAAAATCGGAATTGGGAAACTAAGTGACGATGACCATTGTGGGGTGAGCCAGCCAGGGAATACTCACGTGGTGCGGATGTCGCTGGGGCTGCGCAGGAAGCAGTCGTCCATCTGCTGTCGCGAGAATTCGTCCATGGCCACTGGGAGAAATGGCAAACGTAAAGCAGGTGGAAGGCAAATTTCACAACAAACGCCAACTAGAGGTGGAAGACATCGATGCCAGCATCAATTTAATCGATGCTTTCAAAGTATCGCACCTATCGATGTTTGCCAGAGACTATCGATGTCTTTCCATTTCTAACGGTATTTTCTTGCCACTGCTAACTTATCACTCCAATTCTTGCGCACTACACTCAAGTTAAACTGCAATGAAGATATGGACTATGCTAGCGCAATCGTGAACATGAAAGCAGACGATTTCCAACAAAGAAGAAATAAATAGATAACAATATAAGTTTTGTATGTTAATATTTTTTTTCAAAAATCGAAACATCGATGTTTCTGCACCAATGCCAATGCAATACTCGATACACTCGATATATGTACATGCTTATCGATTACAAAGGACGGTGTAGAACTTTGATATGTGAGAAGTTATCGGTAAGTTAGTTAGGTTCGAAATAACAGTAATGGCTAGGAATGTAATGTCACAATTAGTTTATTTGATTTTGTATGGTAGTCAGTTTTGGGGTGTACCTAGATACTTGTACTTAGGTACTTACCTAGGTACAATTTTTTGATGCCTTATATGTTACCTTGTTAACATTTTAACGTTTTATTTTTGTATAAAAAACTTTGGAAAATAATGGTCAAAGTTGGAATATTAAATCTCGTTGAAATCGTCAGCATTGAATGGCATTCACAGCTTAAAATGTTGACTTATTGCAAATTTTGGGAAAAATCATGATGTAGCCCCCCTTATAAAATATGGGAAAATTGATCATAAATTAATTTGATCACTCTTTTTTTTTGCCAAGCTAAATTTAGGAGTAACTTATCACTCAATCAAAGTAGTTTTGAATCGGAACCCAAATCCTAACAAATGAACAAATTTTTACTGAATAGTAGGCTAGGCTTTACAGCACTAGCTGTCTGTCTAAAGCCGAAGCCTTATTCCTTAGTTATATTCAAACTCTCCCAACGAACACATTACAATCTCCGTAAAAATTGTTCGTTTTATTTTGAAACATTTTTTTTTATTCCGATTTGTACGAAATTTTCGAGAAACTGCTTTTTTCCTTTTTTTTTTTTTTCTTATTAAAGTACTGGCGAGTTATAGGTGTGTGTGTGTTTTTTGTACAACCTAGATAAATTTAATTACAAATTATTTTATATGTGTTATAGATTCGGAGGATGAACAGACTTTCGGAACAGCTGGTCGAATTCAAGTCAAAATGCTCCGACTATCGAAATGTCGTGAAACTTAATGTTTGGGGCAGTGACTTAGATGACATCAAGATTTGCTTAGAGATGCCGCGCTTGGAAATACTGGCGCTCAGCGTTAACAATATAAATTCGCTGAGCAGCCTCCAAAATTGCCATCGCCTAAAGGAGCTGTACATACGCAAAAATAAGATCGCGAGCTTTGACGAACTCAACTATCTAACTAATGCCCGTTCGCTGACCTCGCTTTGGTTGGAGGACAATCCATGCACCCTGGAAGCTGGTGGCAACTACAGGGCCCATGTGCTGCGAAAGCTGCCGCAGCTTAAAATACTAGACAACGTGGAAGTCAGCCAACAGGAGGTGCAGGCCGCCCTCCGCAACGAGTCCGAACCGGATCAGAAAAGTGCTATCAGTGCCCCGGTGGCGGAGTCGGTGCCCTCAACTAGTGGCGCCAAGATGAACCCCTGTCGCGAGCGGCTGGAGCGGGAACGGGAATGGGAACGCGAGGATGAGCGCCAGGAGGAGCGCCAGCGGGTGAAGAAGCTTGAACTGAAGATGGAGCTGGAGCAGAAGGAGTGGATGAGGGAGCGGAAACTGATGGAGGATCGGGAGCGCGAGCGCGAGCGAGAGAGGCGATCTACAACAAGATCTCCTGTTGAACCAGTCCGCCAGGACGACAGCGATGCCATGGCCAGTCCATTCAGAGGCGATGATTTGGATATGGTGGGCAACTCCTTTTATCCGAGGAATGACAAGCTGCTGGAGCAGAAGGAGGAGCAGAAGCGGATGAGGGAGGAGCGGGAGCGCGACTGGGAGCGCGAGCGGGAGCGAGAATGGCGATCTCCAACAAGATCTCTTGTTCAACCAGTCAGCCAGGACGACAGCGATGCCATGGCCAGTCCATTCAGAAGCGATGATTTGGATATGGTGGGCAACTCCTTTCATCCGAGGAATGACATGCTGCTGGAGCAGAAGGAGGAGCAGAAGCGGATGAGAGAGCGGAAACTGATGGAGGAGCGTGAGCGCGAGCGGGAACGCGAGTGGGAGCGCGAGCGGGAGCGAGAGTGGCGATCTACAACAAGACCTCTTGTTCGACCAGTCCGCCAGGACGACAGCGATGCCATGGCCAGTCCATTCAGAAGCGATGATTTGGATATGGCGGGCAACTCCTTTCATCCGAGGAATGACAATCTGCTGGCTGTCTCGTTGTTACTCATCCGCAATTTGGACGCATCCTCACTGAAGGCGCTCGTCCATGCCATCCACCAGCAAATGAGCACCATGTCTTATCCAAATTAACGAAGTTTGCCATTATAATATAAATATGTTAAAATTTAGTTTCGTTTCAAGGGATAAATCTTGATAGGTCAGCGTATTGCCATATTGGTGAACATAATGGTGACATATGCTACTTTCATTTTTTTTGACCCTCGCAAATAACTTATACGTTCAAATGTCAATACAATTAAAACAATAATAATAATGATAATATAATATTGTCTCTGCATTATTTTGTTTTCGATTTTATTTTATTTGTTAAAGAATTTCTGATGGTAAGGAAAGAAATTTTTTTGATGTTGACCTACACACAAATAATTTTTACCTTTATGATAATAATAAATTGTAGCAAAATTTATATTCATAAAGTACACTTTTATTATTATTTTATTCGTATCTTTGTATTTTTGTGTATATTTTTCAAAATTTCGTTTTAACAACAACTGAGGAACTTACAAAAATTAGCATGGGAATTAGATTGAGAACAAAAAATATTCAAAATTAATAATGAATAAAGAAACGTAATATTAACATGTTAATCATGTAATTATGATTTCAATGTATTTGTTTACCTACTTAAATAAATAATAATGACTGACTATCCTTGTTGTAACTAAAATATTCACGCGAGTAACTGGTCATTAGCAAATCCTTGGAATGAGCTTGTCATTTGTCTCGTTAATCACTGTCGCAAGACGAGCTCGTGGCGTCTTTTGGCCAGTTGGGTTTTGTTTTGCAACTACCGGGAAATCTCAGGCCGTGATCATGATAGAGATATGGCCATCAGGTAAACACCGCGAGTTTTCCGGTTTACAACAAAGGGCGACTCGACTCTTGGCAGTCGTAAATGGAGTTACATGCCGCATACGATTGGCAACTCTGCTTGGGTCCGAGACTCGTCTGTTTGTTGTTTGTTGTTCGTCGTTTGTTGATTGTTGTTTGTCACCGACACCAGGAGACATGTGAGCATAGGAAAAGTTAGCGAAACAAACACCGCTCAGCCTTCTGTCCTCCGTCTCGAACAATTAAAAGCCAGTTAGGTGAATTCGATGCGGTGCGGGCCAAAAAGAAGACGTTTAAACGTTCAAAAGGTGAAGCATTCAAAGAAACAATTATACACTTGAAAACGGGAAAAGTACTTTTTTCGTATAACTACATTTTAAAATTTTTAATATCATAGATTAAGACAAAAAAAGGAAAGAAATCAAGTCAAAAAACATAGAAGTTTGGCAAATAAAGCAATATTAAAAAATTCAATGTGACTTTATTTGCTGTGAAATACATACAATTTTATTAAAGAAATATGAGACTATGCTAAAAAAATAATAATTAACAATAACAATAACAAAAACAAAACAAAAACAAAACATAATGGTTAGTTCACGTTTGACTTAAAAACTTTAACTGTAAAATGTTTTTTTTTAAATATTTATTACTTTTAAGCGCTGAAAAAATATATTTATTATAATTATAAAGAAATGTAAATAAATGCTGGTGGAACTTACAAGCTTGAACTGTACAAAGGTATTTTAATATAGTGGTTAGGCGTTTTATATAATTTTTGGCATAAGTTGTATTTAAAATATTATACATTTAAAAGCAACTTGAATTATTTTGTGTAAAACTTCATATAATTTTTCGAGGTGTTCGTTTGAATCTAAGATTTCATGTGGGTTGGGCTAGCGACGAGCAGTCGAGGGTTCGGGCGTTGTAAGCGATTCCCCTCTAATGACAATTCTTACATCTAAATTTATTTCGTTTGCCGGCAACATTTTAATGGCCTCCATTTAAGGGGAACTCACTTAATGATCTCGTTTCGCTCGGACTTTTATTTTCACTTAGTCGCTTTGAAGTGCGCCAAAAGTGAGCGAGTTCAGCGAATTTTGTGAACCATGTTTCGGAAATGGTTCTTGTACCTGTGGCTATTATATCTTAGCAATTATTATGATTCAGTCACAAATAGTTTAAAGTTTAGTTTAGTTTAGTTATCCAGATTTATTTTTTTATTTATAAATTGTAAATATCTTTGTGACGCGTCTATTAAACATAAGAAATTTAACTATGTTTTATTAGAAAGCCGGTTTCATTCTTGTTAAGAAATATTAAAAAATATAAGAATATGTAATTTTATAGAGAAAAAAAAAGAACAATTTCATGCAATATTTGTTCAGAATTTGTAACGTTCACTTATTATTTAATGGGAAAGAAGGCTTAGAAAGCTGTTATAATAATTAAATATATATCTGTGAGTTCCAGAAAAAAAACTCCCTCTTTTCTTCCCTGATTGACATCGGCTTTATGCAGAATTTTCAGACTTTAAATGGCAAAAAGTCTTGAGCATTGCAACTATAATTGCCCAGTCAGTCGCAGTCGAAGCCATGATTTTCCCGACGGTTGACCCCCACTTATAATGCCGAGTCACGCACATACTTATATTATAAAGACCCGGAGACATTGAACCGCGTCTCATCATCAAATCGTTTGCCTTGAAAATTATGAAAAACTTTTGCTGGAGGGAGGAGCACTTTTCGCACATACGCTTAAAAAAAATATCGCATTCCGAATTATGCGCATATTTGTGGGCTTTGGAAAATGTCAGATGGCAAGTGGAAAATGCAGCGGCCCAAAATGAAAATTAGTCAACTTAAAGATGGCAATTTGGCGTCAAGTCTGCGCAACTTCCATCCCGAATACTGGGGGACTACTACTATATGGTGTATAGATATATGTACATACGTAGTATGTATAGTGTTTCTGGCCTGGGAGTCTTGGGTACCGGCGGCGACCTTTAATGGCGGCATTGTGTGCTAAACAGCCTCGAAGTTTCCAACTCCCGGAGTGGGAGATCTCTGGGTCTTAAGGCACCACAAATCCAGCACCTCCGCTGAGGAGAAGAACCGTCCAACGCGTTGGCGGTGGCAATTTCTCACGCTCGGCAAACGTTTCACATTGTTCCCACAATTTTCCATTCATTCAGTTTGCTCGCGATCTGCTCCTACTTAGTAATAAGTTTTGCCCGGAATAAAAACACACGATCTACCCATACCCATACCCATAGCCATAGCCATACCCCGTATATACCCCTAAGAAAAATCCACTTGCTCTTGGCTGTCATCATCGTCATCATGTACATGTACAAAGCTTCGTCTTCTTCGCCGGGGTAATGAGTCTGTTTTATATGGGGTTAGTAAGTACGTGGAACTCTTTCCTATATACTCACGTCTTCTGCATGTACAGCCAGTGTTTTATACTTGTGGCTACTTGCAACGCGATCCCATGAAAAGATCCAAATCGGATCACTTGATGGTCGATTGTCTTGCTAACACCCCATGTTATATAAGTACCCCCTGAGTCAGCTGTAGAAATTTAATTAGGAATCTCAGAGCCATTGCAGAAGCTATAAAACATAAGATCTTTAAATGAGCTAATGCCCAAAGTTAATTGATAGTTGGTGGGAATCGTTTTAGCATGGGCAATGAGATAATCCATCATCATTTAAAGTAAGGATGGTAAACTATGGTGACAACAAAAAATGTTTTGTAATTTTTAAAAATTTAAAGATCAGACTAACACTTTTCCCTGAATTCCCTGGGTTTTACCCTTATAACTGATTTGTTATTTCAATATTGAAATAATTGTAGCTTAAACTTTATAGTTTAAAGTTCTTTGTCTATATATGCTAATGATAATTTTATATTTTAAATAAGTAACCCGATGATTTTAATTAAAATTCAATGATAACTTTTTAATAGTGTTTTCTATAGTATGATTTTCACCGTTGTTCTTGAGTGATTTCTTGGATCACTACTCGGTTAAGCTTATTGACCCATATCATGTCACATTATCGTGACAGAGTTCTGTTAACACAAAGAAAACGAGTCTATCTCACGGTACTCACACACGGTGACACATTTATGTGTGTCCGTATCATTAGCGTCACACGAGTGTGCAGACGCGAATAGGGTTTAATCACTTTCATTACGATCACGATCATCCCAATCTCCACTTCCGAAGTTTATGACATGAGCACGTCTGCTCGCTTTGGATCCGACCACTCGCAAATAGCCGCCAAGAAGTGTTGTCCGACTGGCGGCCATAAAAAGCTTGGTCCCAGTGCGTAATCCGTAATGGTCGCTCCCTTCTGGTCGCTCTGGTCGGCCAGCGAACATGCGATCTGTCCCGCGAACCGTCATTAAAACCTAGGGCCTTCCCTTTGCCATTCGCACTCTAACCCCCGACCCACGATTAACCAGTGCTGTCAACTTTGGTTAGCCGAAAAACAGCTAAATATGCATATCATTTATTAGTTTATTAGTTTTATTATTATTTTTCTCTGAATACCACTTAATTTGATTTCCGACACTTGTAACATATAACTGTATAAATGCCAAATGTTTAAATGGCAAAAATAATTGATTTACATTTTTAATTGTTCGCACTTAATTTCGTACCATAAATGGTAAAAAGTAAATCTTACTTAATCTTCTCTAGTTTTGTTTTTAAAAAAATAATAACAGTTTTAATTTTAAACATTTTTTATTTTTTTGAAAATAAGGAGGATTTTCTTTAAATTATAATACGACGCATTTAAAGTTAGATTCCATTTTTATTCTCTATATATATGTCTTTGGCTTTAAAAAAGAGCTTTCGTAATTGCTCGGGAAAATAGCTGGGCTGGCATCACTGGACCCCTGCTTTCTTCACTCGGCTTACATGCAGCAACCACCGCTTCTGTTTCTGCTTCTTCCGCTACCTTTCTTCGTCGTTCTGCTCGGTTTTTTGCGCATGCGCCCCCGAGACACCGAAGTCGGCACAGTGGGATCATATGGAAAATTGTTTAAGCATTGTCTAAAAATAAATTGCTTAATAAACGATTTAAATTAACTAACACTTTCATAGCAATAATAGTAATTAAAAGTACCATTATTTAAAGTATTTTAGCCGTTTCTTTATACTTGAGTTAATTTAAGATATTCAAAAGCAAAATAAAAGTTCTGTTAAATAGCGATTCGTAAAAATATGATTCTTACAAGAAGCAATCAAAATTGGAATTGTATTGAAAATATATAAGTCAAAAACAATACAAAATCCATGATACTTATAACGATGAATAAAAATCTACGGACATTTTCATTAACTTTGGGTGAACTCGAAGTTTCTTGATGCAAATGAAGACTCTTTTTTCGTTTTTAGAATTTACGAAACCGATTTCTGTGTCTTCTATACATTATTATCGCCAGGAATTTATGTAGAAGATTTGGTCTATTTCCAATTTGGAAACGTTGAATTTTACCATCTAATTTGGCGAAACGCCCCACTGTGCGACGAGGGCAGAGAAAAAGTCCGAGATCGCGACGAAGACAGGGTCTTTGAGTTTGAGTTTGGTTTTCCGTCGAGCGGCTCTGCGTTTGCTCAGTCGACTTCCGTCACGATTCGCGTTCGGACGTGCGTCGCGCGGTTAACAAGCAAACTACCCAAAAGCAAAAAAAAAAAAACCAACCCATTTTACCAAGAAACCGAAAACCGGGAAGAAAATTAAGCAAATAGCTCGATCATTTTTTTTTTTTTATCGTATTTTGTTTATGTTCCGTGTTCCGTTTTTTGTTGTTGTGTGCTTTGTTTTTGTTTCTTGTGTGTTTTGTCGGTGGCGGTGGTGGTGAATTTGCTGTCGTTTTTGTTTGGCTGCAGTGGCGCGTAACACAGCCAACCCCCAGAAACCGGGTTGAGTACTGGGCACTAGTGGTATCTGCTCCTGGGACACACAGGATGCGCTCGAGTGCACCTGCGCACCTGTTCGACAACGACAAGTGCCACCACGGACAATAGTAAAACCTAATCGCCGGCTGTGTGAATTTTCCATTTGTAACATACATAATTTATGCAAAGCGAATGCGGAAAAGTGGAAAACTCAACTGGTGTTTGTTGTCGTTTCGAAGGGAAAGGAAAGCCCATCGTTGGTGGGAATTGCCGATAGGAGAGACTCCCAGCCCGTAAACTGACATTATCGTTATGGCCCGCTTTCCGATCATGGCCCACTAGCCGCGATCATGCTGATTGTGGACATGTTAACGCTGGCACTGGCAAATGAGCCGATATGCGGCGGCAAAATGAGATCAAGTGGCAAGAGTGGCAGCAGCAACAATGGCTTTAATGGTGGGGATAATCAAGAAGTAGCTGGAGCAGGAGCAATGATGATGGCCAACACGACCGGCGGTGGAGTAGGCCAAAACTTTGGGCCACTTTCTGGCCACTTGGCATGCGAGGCACGCGACTCACGCGACAATGTTGCTGCCGTGCAGTGCGAGGTGCGTCAGCAATGCCACTCAGCGATAGACGGAGTGGAGGCGCGTGCGCGTGCTGAATACACTGGCAACAACAAGGGCAGTGGCAACAGCAACAATAGCAGCAACAACAGCAACAATAGCAGCAACACTAGGAGCAACACTAGGAGCAACAGCAACAGCAACAACACATACAATTGCTGCAATAATATCAGCAACAACAGTAGTAATATTAGCAACAACTGCAGCTACAATACTAGCAATATTTGCAACAATAGCAGCAACAACAACAGCAATACTAGCAGCAACATTAGCAGCAACTCTGGCGACAACACAGCAACGGAAGTGGCCACGAAATGTGAGTACGCGCAACTCGAGCGTGAGAGGCAGAGCGTGAGCGCAGGCGCATACCTGCAACCACCCAATGTGACAATCAGCAGCACCAGCAGCAGCAGCAACAACAACAACAACAATAACGGGAGCAACAACAAGGGGAGCAGCGCCTGCTCAATACCTACAATTGGCAGTGAGCTTTTCAAAGCCAACCTTGTGACAGCAGCACAAGCAGCAGTCGTCGCAGCTGAGCAGCAGAGGCAGCAGCTACAACAGTCAACCAGCAGCAGCAGCAATCAGTCAACGGATTCTGGTCAAAAATTGTGCAAATTGATAGATTCCAGTGAAAAATCAGTGGAAATCAATTGCCCCAGTCCTCGTGCCGCAGAAAAGCAGTTAAAGGGTAACAAGCAAATAGCGATAACTGCGCAAATCGAACTCGACGACATCAGCAGCAGCAGCAATCACGACGAAAACGAAAACGCAAACGACGACGAGGCGCGACGTACAGAAAAAATTGTGCAAAAAAGCAGGCAAAGCGCGTTGTCTGCTCGCGGGCTAGATAATTTTTTTTATCCCAGTGAAAATGTGCAAAGTGCTACGCCAGCAGCAACATTACTAACACCAGCAATAGCAATAGCAACAGCAACATCAGCAGCAGCAGCAGCAGCAGCAGCAGCAGCATCAGCGACAGGAGCAACCTTAAGCTCGAAAAAGGAGCAGGAGGAGAAGGAGGAGGCGGAGGAGGCGAAGGAGGAGGCGGGGCAGGCGCCATTGTCATTGCCATATTACCAGCAATACCCGTATCCATTCACTTGCAAGCCCCCCAGCAACTCATCCTTGGCTTTCTGTGGTGTTGATAATGTCGCTGGCATTGCTGCTGTCCGCCCACCACAAACCTCGCCCCTTGTTGTTGCTGGCGGTTACGTGGATTACGTGAAAAGCATCGCTGAACAAGTGCAACACGACCAGCGACCAGCAGCAGCAACAGCAGCAACATCAGCAACAGCAGCAACAGCAGCACCAGCAGCACCAGCAGCAAAATGCAGCGATTTAGATGCAACATCTGAGGAGAAACTCATCGATTGTGAGTCCTTGGTGGGCAATACATCATCAGAAGTACCAGAAGTAGCAACAGCAATAGCAGTAACTGCAGCAACTGCAGTAGCAACAAGCTGCAGCGAGCAGGATCTCATCGATTTTGAGCACGATTTGGGCGAGGATTTTGTGGCCAGCCAGCGCCTGAAGCGACTGCAGTGCAATTTTCAGGGACGCGTGGCCATTAGTAGTAACATTGATTGTGTAAAGGCATCCTTGAGACCACAACAACAACAGCAGCAGCAGCAGCAGCAGGAGGAGGAAGAGCAGCAACAAACAATAAGCATAACAAAGAAACTACCCCCAAAAGGAGACAGTCAGCACCGAACTCAAACCCCAACCCCAACCCCAACCCCAATCCAAACCCAAACCGAAACTCAAATCCCCAGCCAAACCGAGTCCAGCCAGAGCAAAGACAATAAGACAATTGCAGCAGTTACGGACGAAGCGGCGGACTCAAGTGCAATTCAATTAAATGTGGATGTCGAGCAATTGCCAAATGAAAGCGAAACAGCCAGACAAACAGCTGAAAATCGCCAGGAGGAGCTGGAGCAGGAGCCACATTTGCTGAATACGCGTAGCGAGTTGTTGCCAGTGCGCAGGATCGAGAGTAGCGGCCAAGTGGTGATTGAAATCGAAACGGACGGTGAGGCGGAGGAACGCGAACCGAAGAGCAGGAGCGCCTTTGTCCAGCCAGCCCAGTTGTCGTCCAGCGGACAGTTGAGGGCCTCAACGGAGGCCGGCGATTTTGCGGCTGCCGCCTCGCTCAGTGAGTTCGATGTCCAGCGTTTTGGTGAATATCTGAAGGCCGCCCGCCAATTGCAGTGGCGCCACACAAATCCGGATAGCAGGGATAACCGAAAGTATCAGCAGGGTACTAGCGATTTCCAGTGCTACGACGAATTGCTGGCCGAATTTGTCAGCGAGCAGCAACAGGATTACGAGCAGTTTGAAAGCGATAGCAACGAAGTGAGCGATAACGAAAGCGACAACGATAGCGATAACGATTTGGCTATCGATAACGATAGCGAAAGTGCCTGCCAGTGCCATGAGTGCCTAGCCAGCCAGGAGCAGCAGACCAGAGCCATCACTTTCGCAGTTGGCGGAGCCACAAACAGCTCTAATTTAGCCTCGAATCTAGTCCCAAGTCCAGCCTATTTAGCCTTGAATCTAGCCCCAAATCTAGCCCCGAATCTAGACCCGAATCTAAACCCAAATCCAGCTCATTCCACCCACCTGACTAACGGCTACAAAATGCGCGAGGTCAATGGTCAGTTGCGCGGCCTGCTCAAGAAGCCAAATCGACCGCCGCCGGCACGCAAAAATCGCGTGGTCTTCGATGAGACGCGCAACGAGTTCTTCGAGGCCGACTACATAATCCTGATCCGCGAGGATTGCGCATACGACGAGGAGGACGAGGAACCCTGCACCTGCGGCGAGCACGAGCTGGTGCGCCTCTGCTGCGAGGAGGGATGCCAGTGCAACTACGCCGTCAATCCCGCCGAGGCGGGCGAGGGCAGGACGCCACAGGTGAGTGTCCAAGGACAATGCTAGTCCCCCGATTTACACCTCTCCCCCCTCCCCCTCAAGGATTCCTACAGTTTCGCAGTCTTTTGTATATTAGAGTGATATTTACAACAGAGCAATACCCAACTGTTCATAACAATTTGCAGGGAACTAAGACCATTTTTTAATAAAAACGGAATGCACTAATTATAGGTATTCCAAATTTAGATATGCAAATTATATACAAGTATAATTATATAAATATATAAACATACAATATATAATTTTTTGCAAGGCTATATCTTTTTTTTATGCAATTTTCAGGCACCTATGACCATTTTGTCTTATAGAAACGCAATATATTAATTATAGATTTAATCAATTGATATACCCAGGGTATTTCGGAGTTTACCACCAAAGGTTTTTGTAGTTTCGATATTTCCATGATATTAAATACTTATATCTTATTTTTAATGCAATTTGCAGGAAACTAAAGCCACCATCTTATACATATTACTCGAAAATAATTGTAAAGAATTCCGGCATCTTTATTATAGAATAGTATTAATCCATCTAAAAGTTTATGTGGATTTCATTAATAGTTTTAACCAAAGATAGAGTGGAAGTTTTAACTTGGTTTTTCATTTATTTTTTAAGATAACCAAGATTTACAAAGATTATAGTTAGATTATTGGACTTAAAACTTAAATTTCAATCAGCAAGGCAGCGTTTATTACAAAAAATTAAAAAAGGTCTATATAAAAAAAGGAGACTTTTAATAATATTGTTAATTTAACATTTTTAAAAAGCATACAAATTTGAAAAGCTGAATATTTTAGCGAAGTTTATATCCCCACGTCATCATATTTTTTGGATGAAAAATTACTGTTTTTTGTATCTGGCTTGGGGATGGTACTTTTAAGACAAAAAACTTAGGGTTTTAAGGAACTCATTATGGTTTTTGTTCATGGCACACACTTTATGTAACAAGCTGAAGTGTGTATTGTCATTGTTTTATTACGAAAATGTTGCATTTCTGTCGCTGTGCCTTGAAGAAGCCGATTGCATTTCCTTGCCAGCCAGTCATTCCGATTTCGAGTATAATCCGATTAGCTGTCTCTGTCTCCGTCTGTGTAGAGTTCGAGTTGCCGGGTCCGGGGTTGGGGCTCCGGGGTTGGGGATCCGGGGTTCGGGTTCCGATGTGGACACCGTTTTGCCTGGGCTAATGAGGGCCACCTGAAACGCACCTCGCTCTTTTAACTATCCCATTTCACCGGGGTCGCAACTTAAATTGGTTTATTACTGACTTCGCTTCGTGCAGTTAGCTGTGAGGGCTTTTGCCTCGCTGATGACGTGCTTTTGTCAATTTGAACCTTAGAAAATTGCTGATTTGTAGATTTACTTAGTATTCTCCTTGCAGCACAGTTCGTTAGAGGTAGTGCAGTCCTATTAAATCGGACTCATTATATTGCAAGCGGCAAAAAGGTTCTTGGAAATAGTTTTAATTCGTACTAAGAATTTCCTACATTCATAACAAAAAAAGTGTTTAGTTTCCTTTTCAAATGTGAGTTGCTCTTAAAAATGCTTTAATAATTTTGTGAATGATTTAAATATCCTGAAGTATGATATCATTTTGTATGGTTTTGCCAATATAATAAATATAAATAGAAGAACATTTTTTGTATCGAAATTTTTGTTGCTTATTTTTGAAGTTCCAACACAAACAGTATTATTCCTATAATATAAATCATTTTGCTATTCTACCATTTAACTTTAGACAAACTTTAATGAAACACAAACACAATTGGTGTTTGGGAACTTATTGTTTTTCATTCCAATATTACCAAACCCTAAGCATTGTCGTGTTCTTGGAAATTCAGAAAAACTTACCCTAAACTCAAACTGGTTTATCACTTGAGTGACTTGCTCAACTTGCTTAAGAATTCTTTGCCGCACAATATTCACAATTAGGAGTGCAAAGTTTATTTTGCTTTTCAATTTGCCGATTTGTTCGTTATCTCGTTGCCAACAGTGGGACATGGTGAAAATGGGCCCATTTCGCTGCGTTGCCGCTTTTCATGTTAATTACGGCAAACGCTGTCCAACTTTTGTTATCAGTGTGTGTACAATTGGAGAAACAAAAGCACAGTGTCCTCGTTTCTCCCGCCCAAGTGGCAGTCAAGTGGGAGTCAAGCCGCAGGACGACCACCCACTCATCCACTCGAACACATTGTATGGATGGCTGTACGTACATCCATGTTACACATAATAGCTGCGCGTTTGTCCTCGCATTCTCTATTGGCAAGTGTGCATAAATCACTTAAGAACTTTTATACAAAATGCTTCTCTTGTGCCAGTAACTAGTCACCAGTAACCAGTCACCAGTAACCAGTAACTCGAAACTGCAGTAGTGGCAACAGCCAGCGACATTGTTGTCGACGCCTCTGTGTTTTCTGCCTGTGATAGATTGTCTTATGAATTGCGTCTTCACTGTCTTCGCTGTGTGATGTGTGTGGGTATGTGTGTGGGTGTGTGTGCTCATAACGAACAACGCATTATATGTGTTAAGGACATTCAGGAAAGTTGCCGCCAGTATTCGGCCATTCCTTCCTTCCTTTCTTCCTTCCTTCCTTGATTCCATCCGGCCAGTTTGTCTTCCCCCCCATCACCATAATCACTGTCGTAATCATCGCCATGCCATCCTAACCATCCTCAACACCCCCATATGTACCATACCCGAACCGTACTCACCTCGACCTCGACTACACTCGTATCGATCCTGAGCGGCCCTTGAGCTGCGTTTAAATTTCAATTTGCTGCCACATAAGCGACACTTGTGTGCGCCGCTTTTTACTTATCTGCTCGGCCCTCCTCTGATGTCCTGGCAAATTCCTGTCTGAGAGCCCAGTCGAGCACATAGCTCGGTGTGGTGTACACACCACACACCACACAGCACCTAGCATCGAGCCCCGAACACCGAGTTTATTATGAACAAAAAAAAATCGTTTTTGAGACAAGAATATGTCTGGTTGTTCCAGGAATGCCAACTATTTTAAATAAATTTATAATAATAATCAGCACATTCTCAAAAGTTTCCATAACTGTTGGCTGAAAAAATATTTGAAAGTGACTTTATGTTATAACTTGTATTTGTGGGTTTCAGTAATTTCAATATTGCAAAACAAAACTTTTAGTAGATATTGAAAACTGTTTCGTTGAACACTTTTTCTAAAATACGAATCTTGTTAAGCTTAAAATTTTAAAAATTCTAATCTGCTTTGGCATAAAACTCTATGTTTAATTGTTAGTGTATCACTAAAAGACTTCGACTTCTTTACTACCCAAAATAACTAACTTATGTTATTTTTAAGTATAAAAATATAAATAAAAGCAAATACCAATGTTTTAAAGCCACTAGTTTAAATTTGTTGACTTTTCTTAAATTAAAGAAACCTCTTAAAAATAATTTATATAATAATAATAATTTATTTTTCTTTCTTTCTATTTTTAAATCCATCTAAATGATTTTAAAATGAGTGACTGAAACTAAAATGTGGCACAGTGCTACCGTAAGAAGTCTACCAATGTTTTGAGTACAAATGGGCTGAAAAGTACGATTTTTTATTTGGACTAACTTATGGCTTGTAAATCTCCTTAGTTCAATCCCATTTCCTTATTAGCTTGTCGAATTTTTCCACAGTGCAGGCACCAATGCACTTGACTTGGCGCTGCTCGAGCATGTCCCCTCATCGTCCTGTCCTGTCGTCCTGGCTGTTGGCTCTCTGAAGAGTTTAATATGCATTTAGTGTGTGTAACAAGTTTACCGAGCTCGTTGCATAACACTCAGACAGACAGCTAGCCACATCCACATTCACTTCCATAACCGCATCCTCATTCTTAGATCCGGAGAAAGAATACGCCGTATTTATGCAAAAGTTTTCGCATCTCAGAAGGCAGTATTATGACAGGACTTTGGTGGCCAGGATATGGCTACCCGAATAAACAGAAGGAGGAGCCCCTGGGCGAGAAATTCAAAGACTGAGATCCTTGTCTAGACATTGCAGCTTGCTGCAGTTACAAATAAACCTGATTTTTTTGGCAGTTCCCGGGGGAATTCCGCCAGAATGAAGTTCGAAACCATGTTTTGCACATTCATGCACTTTTCCGTTGTCTGTGTGAATTAAGTTTTTCCACTTTTCTTGACTCTTCTTATGGAAAACTTACAGCTTACCGGGAAATATGTGTGCACTCCGTTATGGTGTCACCAAAAATAAAATACTATGTGAGGGCAAAACATGTGGTCTAGATTTTATTTTCTTCATCTTATCGATGGCAATTTGCAACATTGTGAGATGTATTCCATTTAATAGTAAAATATATTTTGTTTGCATAATGCAAATATCATTATAATGATTTCACTAGTTTATACAATTAATTTGAATATTTACTTTTTTTCTGATAATGACCGAAACAAAATTCTAAAACACAAACTAACAAGTCGATTTATTTATTTTTTACTCTACAAAAAATGAGGAAATTATTTAAATATTTTTTGTATTGTAAGTGCTAGATCATTTTTATCTGGGAGAAAAAATTATAAATATATATGTTGATACTGCTAGCTCTATCGTAACATTTAATTCACTCGCATGTCAGCAGTGGAAATACATCCATCAGATAGCTTAACATTCCATTTGGGCGCAGGATATATTTCACATGGGGGAAGGCCAGAAAGGATGGGCTTAACGCTGATTTATGGTGCCAAGTCCATCATGCCTGGTCGGCATGGCCAGTTGCATACATCAAGGGACATGAGGCTGCCCACACAGGGTCCAGAATGCATACAACTCAATTAGCTTAATTTGCGGTGATGCAACGGCTTACGAGCATTATTCACTTAGCTTATCCACCTGACTTTCCACATTTTTTTTTTGTTTTGTTATGCCTTTTTTACTACACAGAGAAAAATTTATGGAATGATGTACAATTTTTCTCTCTTTCTCTCTCTATCTGAACATATCAAAGTGAAACGTCGAGTATTAAGAATACCTAATTGATATGGAATTTCATGAAAACGAGTATTGTTTCTTATGCATTTTTTTCCTGTGTATTTCAGAGTCCCAAATACCAGCCGCCAATTGAGTTCGTGGACGATGCGGCACTCAGTCCGCCCGATGGCTACAAGGACAGCAGTCTGAAGAACACGCTCGGCGGCGCCTTGAGCGGCCACATCTTCGGGGCGCAACATCTGCAGCAGCTGCAGGTCATTCAGCGCCTGCAACAGCAACGTGCCGCGATGCTGGCCGCCCGAAATACCACAAGCGGTGGTCAGATACCACCTCCGCCCCCGCCCGTCGGCAGTGCCCAGCAGCAGCAACAGCAGCAACAACAGCAGCAACAACAACAGCAGCAACAACAACAACAGCAGCAGCAGCAACAGCAACACCAGCAACCTCATCATGGAGCAATGCAGCAGCAGCAATCGGAGGATGACCTGCAGGGCGTTTGCACCGAGTGTGCCGAGTGCGCCGAATGTGCGGCCAAGCAGCTCCAGGAAGCAGGTGAGAGGTTGCACTGGCAAAAATTACAAGCTCTTTCGCAGTTTAAAAAAATAGCCACAATCTGCAGCATATTCGTAGCAAAACATATCTTTTTATTGTTAGTTTGGTTAAGATCGAACAGGGATTATGCAGTCCATAAAAATTAAGATTTATAAATTCGAATGCTATGCTATTTTAGTCACCGCATAGACTACAGCAGAAGCATATAAGCAGTATAAAAATAGTAGTAAATATATTAATTTTACCGGACTATGCTACTCATATAATATTTCAATTTTTATTTTGGTAATTTTGTTCTTTATAAATATCTCTTCACCTTAAATTTTCAACATTGCAATTTAAGACTCTATATTTTTTCTTAAAAAAAAGTAAAAGAGGGTTAGAAAAAAAGAGTTCGATTCAGCTTTCAACCATAAAAATTATTTCTGAAGCGTCACAAAATGACTATTTTTTTTGCTGGCTATTGTGCCAAAATATATACAGTTTTTTTGGAGTTTTAGTTTTGCGGTCCTTATTTTTTGGAACTTAATTTTTAAAAATGTTATAATACTGACGATAGGAAAGAATAATTTATTGGTTAGTTTTTTTTTTAAATTTTGTTTTAAGTTACACTAGATAAAAGGAGAAATCAACCCTTTTGAACCAAAATTTCTTATGGTCGATGTTGTAATGTGACAGCTGTTGGTTCCTCTTATTTGGCTAGATGTATGGGGGGCATGAATCAAAGGGGATGATGATGGCGGGGCTGTTGTGGTGCTGTGTTTTATGCACTGTGCATAAATCGGGGGCGTGTCACTGCCTCCATCCGTCTCATAGCACAACATCATCTCATCTCGTCTCAGCTGAACTCGACTCCATGCCGCAATGCAATTAGCGGGCATCCCGCGGGGGCGAGCGCGTTCCTTTCATTCACAAACGCTTTCGTTTGCCTTTGTGTAATCTAATTATGAATTATTTATGCAAACATTCGCTCGCCCGTTGACATTCTGCTCATTCAGCTCGTTCAGCTCGGCCTGCGAGCATCGGCCTCAGGGTCCTTTAAATTGGACGCCATTTTTAATGTTTCCTGTTTGGCCGTTAGTTCGCTGCACTTGCTCTTGTAATTTTCTAGTTAATTTAATTCGGAAAGTAGGACTGACAGGGTGGCAGCCAGGGTTCACAGACGTTCAGGCTGCCGGACAAGCAGTGTCAATAAAATGTACACAACAGATACACACGCGCAAAGGCTTGAATTTGATGATATCGGGCGGCTATGCAAAACATACAACATTTATATATACGGAGTATATATATAATTCATTTGAGTAATGAATTTTAAAAAGGGTCCCTTAATACATGATTTCTTCGGAACCATTAAAAAACTGTAGACACTTACAAAAAACCGACTATATTTATATAGGATATATATCAATATTATTCATATCAGGAATATACATTAATTATACATATAGTTCTTATATAAATGGGTACCTACTTATACCAAGCTTGAACATGTCATTTAAATACTATTCCTAATTGTTAATAAATAGCCCAGAAAAATCAAAAGGCCAATAACTATCGCTGTACTGTAACGTATATAATTTTATTGCACCTTTTGCCATAACATTTTGCCATAACCTTTTGCCGGCATTTGGCCATTATGCGAGCAATTCACTTTACTAAAATCCTTTGATAGTGTCGAATAACTCCATGGTAACGCCGAATCGAATGCATATAATGCACGAAATGAAATCGCTAAAATTTCAGCTATCTGCCAGGCTCAAACCATAAATAATTCGAAGTTTTTTTGGGGGTTCGTTAGCCCAAGTTGCCCGCATTCCCGCACAAAAAGCGCTCATCGTATTGATTGATTTACGGCAACTTGACTTCGGTTCGAAACGAAACGAATCGAAACGAATAGAGTCCCTTAGGATATTGGAAGTGGGAAATTGGTCTGCAGGAGGGCAGGCATTTGCATTAATGTCGGTGGTCACGCTTTATTGGCTGCCAAAGCGAACGACAAGCAAACGGAGAAAAAGGCAACTCAAATAGGGGAATGGTATGGGGAGGGTAGGGCATTTTTAGGGGGATTCCCGGGACAGGGGTGCTCTTCATTAATTGTTGCGCCTAACGAACCGCGAATGCGACAAGCCCCCAGCGAAAAGACAAGCCCAGGTCCACCAGATATCTATACCTATGCCCAAAACTATGTTCATATGGCCTTTGAAAACTGAAAACTGAAAACCAAAAACCGAAAACCGAAAAGCAAAAAAGCTATGCCCATACCGATCCTTCAAGCGCGCTTCCGCTTTGCCAGCAACAGGCGGAAGTCCCCCAACTTTGACAACGATTTGTCATCGGCTTTTCATATGCCAGCTATGAAGTATTAAGGTGGCCCATCCATGGAGTCCATAATTTGACTGACTTTTCCCCTACCTGGCGATACCACATTCTCAATACGTTTCTGTCTCATGCAACCGATTGGCTATAATTAACTTGAAAGCCTCACTTTTGGGTAATTGCTATTGGTTCAAATAAAAAATAACTAAAGTTTCATTAGATACTTTTATTTAACTTAAATCAGCTGCTTATTAAATTGGTAATGCTTAAATTAATTTATGTTACGCTTTGATTTTCAGCCATTGCGGTTTTAAATTATTTTAAATGAGAAAATTGATAAGAGTGTTTAATAAGAATTGTTTAATTTCAATTGATTATTATATCTAGAAATCATATTTAAAAATAAATAATATTTAATTTGATTAAAATACATTTAATCAAATATGATCTATTTTAAACCTTATATTTCCACAATTATTAAATTATTATAATATTGAATCATGCTATGTAATATGCATTGTACTCAATACAATGATTTAATATTTAATTCAAAATTTCAATACATTTTAATTCAATAGTCAGATATTTGTTTTGACTGTTCCATTTTTTTTATCGGTGGAGTTACACGGGGTAAAAGATAAACCATGTTGTTTTAATGCCACATTTTTTTACCTTTGCCATTGCTGCCTTTAACTCTTTGTTTGTTTTTTTTTACCCGCAGAATGCAGCTCACCGCAGTGTCCGGAGGAGATGACTCCGCTCGGGGTTCCCGCCGTGGCCATCCTGCCACTGCACACCAGTTCCCCGGAGCGCCGCATCACCCAGAAGGAGATTATCGCTGGCGAGGAGCGGCCCAAGTACGTCCTGCAGTCGCAGTACAAGCCATCACCCACAGCAGGTACGACACCGACCCCCAGTTCCCCAAAGACCCCACCCCCTCCAATCGTTAACCCAATCCAAACCCAAATCCAAGTCCAAATCAAACCACAAATACCACTTTATCATGCATTTGTGCACAGCGAGCAAACGAAACCCATGGCCATATTGCACATTTCATATATTTGACCTCCAAGGATGCGATATAATCCAACCAAGGTCGTCGCATTTTTCGCTATTGAAAATTTACTTCCGACCATTGAGCATTGGACATTGAATTTTCTTTTATTACGCAAAATAATTTAGATACAACAGAAAACAATTGTTTCGATTGGTGTTGAGTTCGTTAGAATGCTTGAAATCGGCATATAGCAGATGTACTTATCAAGCGGTTTCTGTCAAAAGGTGTAACGTTAAGCTATCGCAATATATAGCTCCAAGAACATATTAGCTTTGTAAATTCTGTAAAATCTGGGAATGCGGTTAAGAAATATTTAAAATATTTGCAATGTCTTGGCTTAAAAAGCTGTAAATTCTGTAAATAATTTCATATAAGGAGATTTAAATTTCGCGTCTAAATTATATGCTAAACTAGAGCATTTTAGTATCAGCTGCTTTCGATAAAAATTCTATGTATTAATCATTAAACTATGAAATGCTTTTGAAAACAATTCCTTTATGAAAACGCTTTCGCTTTTTGAAGCATAAACTTCAACCCAAAATGAAACCCATCAAGATATGTTACCTATGATATTTGAATGCCAATCAATCGCTCCATCAATCGCTTGTCCAACTATTTGATTATCGTGAGCATCTGCATATGCACTGTACATACCAAGTATCCGTCAATCACGATCTCAGTATATGACTTCATGGCTCGACATGGTTTGATTTCAATACCAAATCTTTTGGAATGCCAAATAAATGCTCTATTTTTGGTCTTTGCGTATGGCTCGTATGGCTGTCTGTTTGTACGTGCAGTGGTGGTCAAATCTAGAAAGGAGTCGGCCAGTGGGAAGGCCAGTTCCGGATCCGTCTCGAGCTCCGGCTCCGGCTCCGGCTCCAGTTCCATCTACGGATCGACGACAAGCCAAGTCCCGGTCCCGATCAGTAGCTCCTCGAAAAATAAACGATTTGTTGTTGAAACCATTACTACTATGACCACAGTGACCGAGCGCCGCATCATCCGGGAGGCGCATGAAGATGTGGCAACCGCCCCGGGTAGTGCCGCTCCCGGCCCCGGCCCCGCCCCCGCTCCAGGTACCGCCCCCGGCTCAGTTGGAGCAGCTGCTGCGGATATGCAACCGCCCGCCTTGCCGGCCAAGGCCAGTGCCACAGCAGCAGCGGCCGCCGCAGCAGCCGCCGCAGCAGTCGCATCAGCATCCGCAGCAAGCCCATCCGAGCAGCAGCAGTCCGACGCTCAGAAACCACCACCCATACCGCCCAAGGAGACATCGCCCACGCAGATCAGTGGAATACTTAAGGGTGGCAAGCTATGGAAGCAGGACTCCATCTCTCAGGTAAGTCTACTCTGAAATAAATGAGAAATTAGCTCACAAAATCATAATTGAATGTTGAGCAGCAGTCGGATGACCAGAACAACACCACATCGGAGGACGAGAGTGGTGCCACAAAGCGTTCGGTGCGTTTTGTTACCGAGGATCAGGCCAATGCCGGCACCGACAGCGATGCCCAGTCCTTGGCTGGCGATCTGGACGACAGCGAGAACCAGATCAACGAGCTGATCCCCATCAAGAAGCACTCGACGCTCTTCAACAACGCCCTGCGCCCCAATTCGGCGGTGCGCCAGCTCTTCCCCAGCGTCTCGGCCCATCAGGCGCCCGTCCTCACCTCGGAGGCACTGCGGGCCTTCGATGAGTCCAAGCGGGCCGGCTGCCTGGTCACCCACCTGCCCGGAAGTTGTGGCGACTCCGACACCCTGCGCCGCAGCATGGAGCGGAATATCCTGCGCCGATCGTTGATCAAGTAAGCGTTTAGCTCAGTTCAGTTTATAAAAAAGTTCAGACATTTATTTGGCGCCCCCGGGTGGACTGACCTTAATTTTGTATATAGAATACACTAGATTCGCAATCATGCTCTAAATGAGTAGTAGACATTATTTTAAATGTTTCCCGTATCTATTTAAAATTAGTAAATATTAACAAAATCAAAAAATATAATATTGTATATTGTATTTTAAAATATTTAAGTGCTTATAAGGCTCTTTCCTGAGAAACCACAGAAAAAAACATATGATAAGACGTTTTAAATTTTCATTTTAAAAAAATATGATTTTAAATATATTGGAGAGAAAAGAAGAAAGTGTCTTTTAACCAAAGAACAAGAGGCACTATAAGTAACCCAGACCTTTAGCCAGCCAAACACACCATGCTAACAAAAAAGAAAACATCATTATTACTTGACTGTGTATGAGGTTCTTTTTAGAATTCTATTAGAATTATATTCAATCAAAATAGCATATGATTATGCAATTACAAGCGCAATCTTATTAAACTCATTATCTTTTATTCAGAAAAAAGGCTGTTAAGTCGGACATATCGCTGGAGGAGCGCATCAAGCAGCTGACCTGCGACATCGACGAGGATCTGGCCGAGGAACTGCAGCGGGCTGTGGACGAGGACGCCGAGGCTGCCGCCGAACGGGTCGATGAGCTGGACCAGCGCAACAGTCCCGCCGGCGAGGAGAATCCCAATCCGGTGCCCGGCTCCGGTCCACCACACAAGTTTGTCAACGGCGAGAAGAGCTTCTCGCCGAGCAGCTCGGTATCGAGCTCCTCGAGCGGTTCGTCGGCCTACAAGAAAATCGCCGACATCTTCAATCGCGACAAGAAGCAGGAGAAGATCATGGAGATGGAGGAAAACCCCATTGTCATTATACCCCAGGTGAGTTTTTTTTAAAACTTAAGTTACATCCCGAATTCTCAGTTTGATATATTCTTAATTTTTAATGGGCATAAAGTCATAGTTAAATACAATTTATTTCCAAGGCTAAAAAAAATACATTCTGCAAGCAAACAGAAATGCTCTACCAAAAAAAAATCCATTATTCCTTCTGGATTATAAAGAGCAATTGTTTTTCTATGACGTCAACCAAATTAAATCGCTTTTTTGTAACGCTGACAAATTGCTGAATTAAAAAATGATTTTTTTTATTTTCTAAGTTTCAAATGGAGTTTAAAAACAGTGAAGCAATGCACTTATATTGTTGTTTTGCTATTTTAAGAGTTTTATTAGTTTAAATACAGAAACAAATTGGCAAAAGGTGCAAAAGGTGGATTGAAACATTTTGCAAAGTAAAACGCTTCATATATATTATTTATTTACTTTTTAATATGTTTTCACCCTCTTTTTGCACCAAAAACGTCGAATTTCAGAGCTCTTTTTTTTTCCTGTGTAGGTTCTTATCAGACCAATTTTGTTGAAGTCAAACAACAGAAATGCAATGCACTGTTATTGTTTTTATATTTTCGTCTGGAATATTTTAGAAATCATTATTCCAGAGTTATAGTTTGAAATAATCCTTTTAAAAAGAATTTTGGATACCCTTGACATACCTATATATCTTGCTCATTTTAATCTTATTTCCTTGCAGGAGTGCCGTTGTCCGGCAGCTCCCGACTTGGGCATGGGCATCCAGGTGCCGGTGGTGCACACGCAGATCCATCGCACTCCACCGCGCCAGACAGAGCCGAAGCGCCAGTTCCTGTCCTCCACTCTGGCCCCGCTGACCGCCTGTGTGGCTGGGAACAAGGATGACCTATCCTCGTACTACACACTGGCCGCCGCTGCCGCCGCTCATCCACATGCCCATGGGCACGCCCACACGCATGCGCATGCCGCCCACTATGCCGCCGCCGCTGCGGCGGCTGACTTCAATATGGGACAGCTTTTGGGAGCGGCTGCAGCGGCCGCCGCCTCTGGAGATCCGGCTGCCCAGCATGCTGCTGCCATGGCGGCTCAGGGATTGGCCCAGGGATTAGCTGCAGCAGGCGGAGGCGGGGGAGGAGGTGGAGGTGGAGGAGGTGTAGGACCCGGAGGAGGAGAGGACCCCCGCAAGGTGGCGCCCGATGTGATTGCAGGAACGCCGGGACAGGAGATGGCCGGTCGGCCGGAGCAGGACGAACTGGCCGCCTTCGCCCAGGCGGATGCCAAGCGGACCGAGCAACTCAAGAAGCGGTACACGGGAGCGGGCTCGTCGGAGCCCGGCCAATCGCAGGCCAGCAGCGATGACGACGAGCAGAACGACTATGGGTTCAACAAGCGGCCCTCGGTGCGCGGCATCAAGCCCAAGTTCAGCTCGACCAACGAGATATTGGCCCAAATGCAGGAGCAGCTGAGTGCGGCGATACCCACGGTGGTCAACAGCCAGCCAGTGCAGCATGCTGTGAAGGGCTATGCCATGCCCAACACGCTCAAGCAGAATCCCTCGCCCCAGAATGTGCCACAGAATGTGCAACAGCAGCAGCAGCAACACCAGCAACAGCAGCAACATCAGCAGCAACACCAGCAACAGCAGCAACACCAGCAGCACTTGCAGCAACAGATGGCCGCTGCTCTGCAGAAGACCGAGCAGCGAACGTGGAGTTTCTACAGCGAGACCGGTGAGCAGCAGCGCTTCCCCATGGACGCGGCCGCCATCCAGCAGACCTACTATCAGACCCTGCCCGCCGGCACCATGTTCCGGCAGACGATGATCCAGCAGGGCGCCACTGCGGCCGGCGGCGGTGCCGACGATGCCTCGCTGCTGTACGCCGCCGCAGCGGCTGCCCAAAATTGCCAGAGCGTCACCGCCACGGCCACCGCAACGGCCACCGCCACCGCCACGGCCATCGAGCAGAGCAAGCACAGCAGCTACAGCAGCCACTTCGCCCGCAGCCCCACCCGGCGGCCCGAGTCGCCGCCGCCGCTGCGCAACTACCATCAGACCATGGTCCTCATCCCGTACAACGCGGAGACCTACTCCCAGTTCGCCACCAGCAGCAGCGGCGATCCCAAGCTGGCCCACATCCAGCGGCAGAATATCCTCGAATACCAGCAGGTGAGTGGGACCACTGAATAAGACACTTTTCTAAACATTTCATTTTTTATAACCAAAAAAAAATTAATTCGCTGTTCAATGTTGTTTATTAAAGAGAATTTGACTTGGCTCTCAGAACTTTTCTATTATTAAATCTCTAACCAAAAAAAAATCTAACAGTCAGAACCAAGCGACCTGTCTTTATGCTCAAGAATTCGCGGTTTTGTTTAGTTTATTAAATAGACACAGTTGCGGTCAAAAAAAAATTGTTGCGGGAAAATGTAAAATCCCCAAAAACATCATAATGCTTCTTTCCTTCTTTTTTTTAATGTTTTATCTTCTATTGCCAAGAGTGCTAAAGAATTCGGGACTTGAGTTTATTAAATGTAATGAAATACGTACAAAGCACTTGCTGAAGTTGTCTATTTTATACAAAGAATAAGCGGCTTGAATCATTGAATAAATGAAGTTTTGTTATGTGAACACAGCATAGATGACGATATTAGTGAAACTAGCTAGACAATACTTTTCTCATGTTGTTTATAGACTTGAATTTATAATGTACTAATTAGATTAAAAACCTGAAACATTTTTAATGAATTTACATTTGTTTTACTCAAACTAGGTTACCCAGCAGACGATTCGTGTGCCCATTGGCTACGCCCTGCCCGGCATGCAGTTGCATGTGGTCGGTGGGCGTGGCCATGCCGCCCACTACGCACAGCACCAGCAGCAGCACCAGCAACAACAACAGCAGGTTCAGCAACAGCAGCAGCAACAACAGCAGCAACAGCAGCGCCTGATGCAGGGACACTATCAATTTGGACCGGAGGGCGGAATGCCCGGGTTCAGTGAGCGTGGAGTGCCCGAAGGAGCGGCGGCTGTTTCGCACAGCGATTGCAATGCCATGGTATCGCCGACTTCGGCGGCAGCAGCAGCAGCAGCAGCAGCAGCAGTACAGCAGCAACAGCAGCAGCAGCAACAGCAGCAGCAGCAACAGCAGCAACAACAGGTTGCTGGAGGAGTGGGTGTGGGCGTGGGCGCCCAGGCACAGGGATCCGTTTACTATGCGATGAACGTATGACCCACGCTCGAATAGTCGCTGCCAGCGGCGGTCATTGTCGAGCGCCGCCAGTGTCAACTAGTCGAAATGTCAGCGACTTCAGTGCATTTGGGGAGCGGCGGCATGGGCGGCAGATGAGCGCCAGCCCCGCTAGAATCCTCGAGTTCCCATGCGTCCCATCCGCTGATTTGAGTTGCCCCTCAGTTGACCCTAGCGAGCGTTTTTGAATCAGTTCGATCTTCCGTTCAGCAAGTGTATTTGTATCCGTATCCGTATCCGCATATGTTTCCGCACCAGTAACAGTATCATTATCTTTATCCGTATCCGTGTTGTCTGTATCCTTGTGTCGCAAATACTCTTAAATGGGAGTGGTATGGAAATCTCTAAGGGCTTTAAATCACTTAAAGACTTTAAGTGCGATAAGCCAATAGATCAATGACAAGCAGATCATTTCAGAGGTTTTAAGTCTCTAGAGATTAATGTGGCACCCCACGATTACATAGAACCGACAGAGTTACTAATACCTTAAGCTGGTTGTAAACGGTGCAGCGGCATTCTCTCATTCGAAATACTTTTGATATTATGTGCAGCATGGGCACTGCAACGTTTACAACCAGCCTTAAAAACAATCCAAAGGGGATCACTCAATGTTACGCATTACTCCAAAAAGTATACTTTAAGTTAAGCCTTAGTGTCGAGGATTTTATTTCATAGTTATTAATATTTAGCCGAGTGCAGTGGAGGAGAGATGAAAATCTAAACCAAAATAAAACCAAAACACATGAATTTATTTCAAGCATATACATGCTGGGTGCTAGTAATGCAACAACAACCACAACAAATACAACAAAACCAAGAGAAAGTTAATTAAGCTATGCAAATTCTATTAAACAAAGTTAAAACTAAAACAAAGATATGTAATAATATTTTTTTTAATTCATTTTTTTTTTGCTGTTAGTCAAGAAAAACGAGTTTTGCTCAATGGAAAATGCATTTAAATTTAAACGCATCTATATAAACACATACATAATTATATATCTACATATGCGTATGCTAAACTAAATTATACATAATTAAATTATATTGAATTGAATTGATATTATAAAGTATTTCCAATGTAGTGCAATTTGTTGCTAACTCCAAAAGCTCTCTTATTAAAGAGTATTATATTTAAACAAATATATATCTAAATATATATTTTATGAGTATCAAAATTATAGAAATATTTTTAGGCATAGGCTTTATTTTTAATGCAATTTAATTTAAATTATTTTTTTGTTCTTTATGTACAATAAATTTAAAATTTTCGACAATTTTTGGTTTTCTACGCTTAAGAAATGTATCGCCACGTTGAAACATATTGAATGTACATTCTATGTTTTGTATGCTACAGTTCGTTTGGGTTTCATTTGTAGATCGATGAGTCTGCATCGCAATTCACATCTTCCACATTCCAGACCTTACGAGTTGTTCCTGAAATTGGAAGAGATTTTAAGACAATAGTTAAAGGAGCCTAGAAATATGTGGTTAATTTGGGTCATTTAACCAACCGCACTGCATTGTTTTAGGCAGTAAGTGACAAGTCTTTTAAAATCTCTTGTTTTTTTTCAAAACATCTCGAATCGCCTTTCTCCCAAAGTGAGAGCATCAGTGCCAAAAGTTTGCATCAAAAACCTCTCTAAATCATCCCATACCTCCCAGTCATTCCACCTAGTTAATAGAAAATAACATTTAAATCGTGCAATCATAAGCAAAATGTTAGAAGATACACGAAGAGTCATATCTTCGAAATATAAATTAACACACACAGAAACATACGCGTAGATGTAAGTGCATTTATGCATACACCCCGCATACAAGCATTAAGATATACAGACATATGCATATATAAAATATGAATATTGTATTTCGATTCAGATATTGTGTTAATGTCTATAACGAACATATTGAAACTATTGAACGCAAACACGAATTAAGAGTGCAATACTGTTAAAGAGAAAGTACCGCTGACCGGAAACGGAAGCAGCGAAAAAGAAAAGGACAACGCAAATCAATGAGAGCGCGCAAGCGAGATAGATAGTTAGCGAGTCGGCCAGATAGACAGAGATAGAGACAGAGAAAGAAAGAGAGAGAGAGAGAGAGAGAGAGAGCCGATGGACGAACGAATGACAGAGATAGCGCGTGTAACGAAACAATTTAGTCATAGATTTAAACACACACATTTACAGAGCGATTAACGATTAACGATTAACTATAATGGATAAACGATAACTAAAGCGTGGTCTTAGGTGTTCGATATTCAATTTTTTGTTTTTCGGTTTTAGTTTCTTTTTCGCGGTTCCACTGAGAGATTCCGACACTAGAATTGACTAGAAAACGCAGCGCGATTTGCATATTATATAAATATATTTAGAGCCAGATAGCGAGCGAGAGTAAAGCGATAATTTATAAATAAATATATGTATATATATACATACAGGCATACATATATACATGGATATATACTAGATGTTTATGTAATACATAAATGGCATTGAACGAATTCCAAGCACATTGCAAAAGCCCCCAATTCAAAGTCGCATGAAATACCCCCCCAAAACTTCTTTGTGTTTTACTCCAGATGTAACTCGATTTTTTCTATGCAAAAGTAGTTGAAAATTATATAATGAAAAACGATATACATATATTTAGACCTACATCGACAGTATCCTATTCGAATGAATTCTTTGAGTTCTTGAGTTGCGATTTTGGATATGCAGAAGGTAAATGGAAGAAAAAAAACTAAAAATGTGTATGAAATAGAATTAATAAGGTCCGATATTAACGCCCCTACATTTCGCTATTTGTATGTGGGGAAACAACAACAAATCCAGAAAATATAAAAGAAGAACAACAACCAAGATGATGTAAGCGATGGATCGAAGTAAGAATTGATGCGAACGGCACAAGTATATAACAAATTTCAGCAAGTATATGACTGAGCCAACGACTCAAAAATACATTTTAAACAAAAAGAAAAACCAGAAATATATGAGAAATATAAAAATGATAAGTAAAATGAAAGAAAACGCTTTTTTTAATTGGGTTTTGGGAGGCGAAGGCCAAAATTATTAAACAGTCGTTTAATTAATTTGTGTTCAAAATGTCATATAATCTACATGATTTGGCATATAATATGATTATCTAAGCTGTGCGGTTTGTTTACCAAATTTTGTGTACAAAATATAATTTCAAGTAAACAAATTTAGTTTCGCTTTTAAAGCTTTATTTTTGCTATGACCTTGACCTATGTTGAATGATTGTCTATTTCTTCAATTTCACTTACACTCAGAAAACAATTGATCAAAAAGGTTTTTAAATGTACCATAATTAATGGGAAACTTAAAAAAAGTGTCAATAAATAGCAGAACTACTAACTATATATTTCATATTCCAAAAGTTTTTACAATATTTGTAGATTACACTTTAGTGGCTTGAACTCTTTATATGTTTTAAGAGACTAACAGATATTTACACAGAAAAAAATAATGTGTATGAAATTATGTTCGTTATCCTGAAATACCGTATCATTTAATATAAATTAATTAATGTATTTTAATTAAGTAATACCGACACTATTTTGTCTGCGCCCTACTTGATTTTGGTATACCTCGGGCCTATGCAGCAAATTATTTGTGTGCGGCGCCGCACTTTCACCTCCAGCTCTTGATAATTGCCAGTCTATCTGCTGGTGCCCATTACCCGCCCGGATTGCCCAGATCGCCCAGATCGCCGACTGTGCAATCAGTCGGAACTGGAGCTCTCTCCTCGGCGTTATCGCTTCGCTGGGGTCTCATCTCCGCTTCAGTTTGCCAGCGTCCGCCGCTCGACGAGCCACGATCTACGATCCAAAATGAGCTGTCCATACGCTGGAAACGGGTAAGCCATCAGCACGTGCTGTCCAGGAACAGGAATATATACATAGAATCTCCCCGTAATCATACCCTTAGAAACGATCATGATGACAACGCAGTGCCACTGACCACGGAGGTGGGAAAAATCTACGGGGAGTACCTGATGCTGGACAAACTCCTGGATGCCCAATGTATGCTCTCCGAGGAGGACAAGCGGCCTGTTCACGATGAGCACCTGTTCATCATCACGCATCAGGGTGAGTTTTTTTTTTTGGGTATAAAATAAACTTGAACCCCTCGATGAACCCATTATCCATTTTCCCAAAGCCTACGAGCTGTGGTTCAAGCAGATCATCTTTGAATTCGACTCCATTCGGGACATGTTGGATGCTGAGGTCATTGACGAGACCAAGACCCTGGAGATTGTCAAGCGACTGAACCGAGTGGTTCTTATTCTAAAGGTGAGTTCTTCTGAGAGAAGAGATATTGAAAGTGTACCTCCAGTGAGATAGAACACAATCAACTGAAGATCTGTGATATTTTAATCTTATGAAACTATCAAAAGGCGAAAGAAACAAATAATTGTTTTGAGTCATTCCAAAATTTAGGAAGGAATTTATTGCCTTATACTTCGTTTTAGGTCAAGTTTTCCTAAGTTTTGTATGGAAGGTTCAAGTTTAAGGCAATTATTCCTAAAATCCAGGCAATTTAGTTTTCTAAGCAACTGCAAACGAAGAAACTTATTATTGACTGACCTCGTTTAAACAATCCTCCATTAGCTTTTGGTGGACCAGGTGCCCATTCTGGAGACTATGACGCCGCTGGACTTCATGGACTTCCGCAAGTACCTGGCGCCCGCATCCGGTTTCCAGTCGCTGCAGTTCCGGCTGATCGAGAACAAGTTGGGCGTGCTGACGGAGCAGCGGGTGCGCTACAACCAAAAGTACTCGGACGTCTTTAGCGACGATGGGGCGCGGAATGCGATCCAGAGTTCCGAGAAGGATCCTTCGCTGCTGGAACTGGTGCAGCGCTGGCTGGAGCGGACGCCCGGCCTCGAGGAGAGTGGCTTCAATTTCTGGGCCAAGTTCCAGGAGAGTGTGGATCGATTCTTGGAGGCGCAGGTCCAGAGCGCCATGCAGGAGCCGGTGGAGAAGGCCAAGAACTATCGGCTGATGGATATCGAGAAGCGGCGTGAGGTGTACCACTCCATCTTCGATCCGGCGGTCCACGATGCCCTGGTGCGGCGCGGCGACCGCCGATTCAGCCACCGGGCGCTCCAGGGCGCCATCATGATCACCTTCTACCGCGACGAGCCGCGGTTCAGCCAGCCACACCAGCTGCTCACCCTGCTGATGGACATCGATTCGCTGATCACCAAGTGGCGATGTGAGTGATACCTTACTTTATTCATTGTCTCTCTCCCAATTCTTTAATATTTCTATTTATTCTAAATTGGGTATACCATTAACTAAATTACAAGCGAATTCATTAACTGCGACCCAGAAAATCGATAATTTAAAAATTAGCCGACAAAAAGTGTTTCCAAAACTCTAACTTGCAAAGCACAAAAAACTTAAGAAACGCTTCGAAACCAAATCAAAATTAGGACTTTTGCCAACAATTTGTTGTAACTGGGCCAAAATAAAGAGCAGAGCAAAAATATGAACTTTTTTGTGCAGCTGTTGACCCAATCTTACAATTCGCATAACATTTTAACAAATTTTTTTTCCAATTTTCACATCTTTTATAAAGAGTAAGAGTAAGGTTTTTTTTTGCAAAAATGGGTAAACAAAAACAAAAACAAATTGTATTACGAACTCTATGATGCATGATATTCCAATGTTGGAAACTTAATTTCATTCTTATGGCAAAATTACTGATATTTTTATGAGCAAATTTTGACTTTTTGGTAGCAAATTAGAGTTAGGACTTTTTTTTGTTAACCAAACAAACAAACAACTTTTTTTGTCCAATTTTCTTATTTTTTATAAGGGGATGTCCAGATTTGAATGAAACCCGATTCAAAATTTTATTACCAACTCAACGAGGCATGACAATTCATTATTGAACCCTTATTTTTATTGTTATGTGTCTTTGGGCGAAAAATCTGGTCAATAGTTATATAAATGGCAATTTAGCAGAGTTCAATTGTTATTTTATGCATTTAAATCAAGTCTTGTCTTTTTCTCCAACTAACAACTTTCTATTGCCGCCACAGATAATCATGTGATCATGGTGCAACGCATGATTGGATCCCAGCAGCTCGGCACTGGCGGATCGTCCGGATATCAATATCTGCGCTCCACTCTCAGGTGATCAATGCAAATCTGTCTGCTCGGGGGGATCAGTGATCTCTAACCTCTGTCCTTCTGTCTATTTGGTTTCAGTGATCGGTACAAGGTGTTTCTGGATCTGTTCAACCTGTCCACTTTCCTGATTCCCCGCGAGGCGATTCCTCCGCTGGATGAGACCATTCGCAAGAAGCTAATCAACAAGAGTGTCTGAAAATCAACATAGGTCCTTATCAAGCTGTGTTTGGCTATGACTTACCATTCTCACCTACTATTTCATTGTTTGAGCAATAAAATAACTTGTTTAGTCTTTGTTATTACATACGTTGTGTTTTCTCTTCGATGACTTTTTAATTGAATTATATATTAGTACTACAAGCTTAACAAGACAGTTGTTGATTATGGTTAACAATATGGGGTGAGAATGGGTTTTTCTCAATGTTACATGCATTTTCTGTAGTATTCTTTATATACCCTTTAAGATATAATAAAATATCTTGTAATAAGTTTGTACTTAAGTTTCATGAAATCTTTTTTGTCAAGGTTAATGCCTGAAAGTATGCCATAAATATTATGGTTATCCTGCATTTTTCTTCTCCCTCTTTTTTAATCAATGGAAACCCAATAAAATTAGATTCACGTAAAACGAAAAACAAGATGGGAAATTAACTTTTACACGCAAAATTATATAAAACCCTAAAATAATTCTTAAGTACTTATAAGATTTTGTGCATATAGTTCCAGGTGGAGCTACCAAATGTAATCGTTTTATTTTGTTGAAAATAAATATGTAGTACTAAGCAATCTTATTTGAAAAACAGACAATTAGCTCAAAAACAACTAAATTGAACCAATTTGGGGAATTTATTCCCATGTCTGCTTAAGTTTTCAGACTTGATCTGCATAGTCTATGAACTTAGTAATTAAAAGGCATATAAATAGAGAAAGCATTGTCTTATTGACTCGTCTGATTGTCCCAATAAAGAATATTTAAACTCACAACAAAAACTGTAGTTCTCTGTTTTAGAGTATAACAACGAATGAACGTTAGCTCCGTTTACCTAATTGCTGAATTTAGAATGGCAAAGCAACAATAAATTAATTAAGATTAGTCAGAGGAAAAGCTCTTCACAATTCATACGAGCAACTGACAGCAATTCTAAATTCTAAAAAAAAAACAAATAAAGAAAACTTGTGGGCGAAAAAACGTATCGATGAAATTAATTTGTTATTTTGTAATTTGTAATTGTTAAAAGTTTCATTCATTAGACGCAGAAGTCGTTTGTGAATTTGTTTAATACTTATAAGGTAGAGAAGTTTAATATTTCTCGCCTATTTTAAATCCTCAGTTAAAATAATTTCGAAATTATAATAATGACTTGATATTTGAACAGATCGTGTATATGCTGGTTATCGCATCGCTGTTTGCTCAAATATAGCACACAAAAACATAACCTTTGCCATTGGCCTTTCCTCGGCCGATAAGCACCAGATTAAGGCACTGAGTTTTCAGTTTCATTATTATTTATTAGAATGGGATGCCGACTTAGTTCGCTCCGCTCTTCCCTGGCCGAGTGCAATTAATTAGTGTTGAATGGGTAGGGGAGCGGAATTGGGATCGAGTCGTCTTGCGAAGGGTGGAAACGGATCGGATCGGATCAGAACAATAATGAAATCAGAGAGCTAAGCCCGAAGGCATTATGTAAGCTTAATTCGCTTGAAGCGCTTACGTGAGCCACTTCCGAGGGCAAATACAATTTCGGTCTACCCCCCATTGACCCGAATGTTTGGGGCTATTTTTGTCCGCTCGGGTCGGGTTTTTTGTCTGGCAATTAAAGCTCTGCCCAGGTAATTATGGACCGTAACCCTCGACCAACCCTTGAAGCAGGTCCCTCCAGAATCCAGTGGCAAGTTCAGCGCTATTTTGGATAGTTCGGCTGCAACGGCTGATAAAAGTTTCAAAATTACTGACAAAAATGATGGTTTTATACTTTTTATCTCTTTTTACTCATTAATACATTTTTTTTTTTACAAAATTACCTCTTACCACTATAAATATATTTGCGAAACAGCAATCATTTTTAAAACGGATAGATAAACGAGCTAAATGCTTTTATATCTGTGGCATCAATTTTTGAGAATTTTTGAGGTTTTTGTTGTAAAATCTGTAAACTCTATTTCAAACAAACAATATTAGATAATGAACAGAATTCCAGTTACCAAAATGGCGCCTGAAATAAAAATGCAATATATCATTTTAATGCATGAAAGCTTTATATTTGGATAACTTCTGTTTTGGGAGAGATTTTGTTGGCTTGAGTACTGATAAGAAAACTTAAGATTCAATACAAATTCAAAAAAAGATTGTCATAACTTAGCTTAAGATTCATTTAAATTTTCAATTATAAAATACAACATTTGCCAAACTAAAATAGCCGCCTTCAAAAGGTGTAGCGTACCTAAACGGAGACAAAACCCACGCCGACGACGATCGCGGCGGCGTAAGCTCATTAATAAAACCAACAACAACCGCGGTTCGCGGACGACAGCAGCAGCAGCAGCAGCAACAGCAACAGCTACAACAGCAAATTCTACAGCAGCAACAGCTACAGCAGCAACATCAGCTGCGATCGCTAAGATCTGACGGACGTCGTCGAGCTGGAGTCTCTCGTCAGTCGCTTGCTGAGTCTCCGTTCAGTTGGTCGAGCTGCCTCCGAATTGTACTATACCAAAATTCAAAGAAAATCGTAAAAAACCAAGGCGAAGAGAAGTGCTAATAAATCGAGCAAAATGCGCTGCCTGGCATTGAGCGCGCTCTTCATGTGCCTGGCCATTGCCGGGCACTTTCATTTGGCAGGTAGGTCAACAGACACAGCCCATTTGGGTCACAGGTAGTCGCATCTATACACTCTATTATCCCAATCCCAATCGCAATCCCAATCCCGATGCCGACTCATCAGCTGCCTACAAGAACGAGGTACAGATCACCCCAGATCCTCTAGACGCTGTGGAGACGACAACCAAGAAATCGAGTTGGTTTGGCGGCTTCAAGAAGTTCTTTGGCAGCGACAGTAGCACCACTACAACCACAACGATTGCTCCCCCCACCAGTCCGCGATCGGCGGCAGTGACGCCCACGGCGGCCAAGAAGCCACCGCCACTGACCATCTCGCATGCTCCGCTGGTGCCGTTGGGTCCACGGCCGGATACCCCGTCATCCTCGCCCTTTGGAGCCTCTCCGCCGCCGGCCAGTGGTCCCCAGTGGCCAACGACCAGTGCCAGGCCACCGTCGCCATCTCAGCCAGCTCAGCAGCCCACTCTGCCCATTCAGGGACGTCCGCAGCAGGGAGGCACTGCAGCACCCATTCTGCCACCTGGTTTTGCACCCTACCGGCCACAGAAACCCCAGCCGAATAGCTACGATCTGAGCTACGGCGGTGGTCCAGCACCGGGAACCGGACGACCTGGTTTCGGATTGGCCAGTAGCAGCACCTCCACCACCACGACGACTACCCAGAAACCCATTTCGAGCACCGCAGGTAAGTCACCGCAGCAGAAGGATGAATTCCCGGCACTGCCAGGACCTCGCAGGCCATCGCAAAAGGAGGATTTCCCGGCATTGCCAGCGGCCAAGACTCCACCAGGATCGCCCACGCCCACGCCCACGCCAGGATCTCCGTCGGCCTGGCAATCGCCGCTGCCAACGCCCCAGCATCCGGTGCATCCGCCCACCAAGGTCACACCAGCACCCACACCCACGCCCACGCCCTCCTCCTGGAACACGCCCACTCCAACGCCCACACCAGCGCATGGACACTCGTCCTTTGGACCACATAACGTTGGCGGCGGTGGCATTGGTGGTGCCACCACAACCACAGTGCGTCCCGGATTCCAGACGTCGGGCAACTCGGTGGCCACCGACGACGAGATCCGCCAGCTGACGGAACAGTTGTACACCAAGGAGACCAACAGCCAGATCGGAAACGTCCAGGTGAACCTGCAGGGACGCACGCGATCCATCGACAGCGCCGATGAGGCACCCAATCCGTAAGTAACCCCTAGATTTTAATAAAGACCATACCATACCATGAAAATGGTGTATTTGTATCTCAAAGCTTATAACGATCCTGCTCGTAAACCCCTCTTGGTTTAAAGTTAATATATATATTAAAAGAAGAAAGCAACATTAAAAAATTCTTCAATCCTAAAATATTATAGACACAAATCTTACAATTTCACAGCTGGTTAGGTATATCCTTTATTATTTTTTAAATTAATAAATTAAGAGAGATCTAAAAAAACTTCATTCCCCAAAGACTTTTAAATGTCGACGCCAAGGCCCTGGAGTCCCCGACAATCGCCAAACTGCGGCTGTTGTTCAACAACTACGAGACGGATACGCTGGTCAATGAGCATGTGACTCCTAACGAGCGCAAGGAGGAGAACGACTTCCTGGACGCAGTGATGGCCACACCAGTGATGCGCCAAGCCATGCAATTCCTGCAGCAGAAGGGTCTGGTCAGTCCGGACCCAAAGACCCATCGCGACCTGGTCAAGGAGCTCTGGTTCACGCAGTACTCCCGCGGGCAGGGCAAGATCGGCAGCTCCGGATTCGAGCACGTCTTCGTTCACGAGGTGAAGGACGGCACTATAATCGGGTTCCACAACTGGGTCTACATTGGCGACGAGGAGAAGGACGGCCGTTTCGACTACAAGGGCTACATGAAGGAGCAGGACATTGGCACGGTAAGTTGGTCCTTCAAACGGATCCTGTAAAAAAATCAAGTCGAATAAAAATATTCAGGTAGTAAATCCAGATAACATATTTTATGCTCAATTTAAAAATATTTTGCTTTGATTTTCGTTAATTAAGTTATTTAGTTATATTTAAAACCTTTTTAATTAAAATAAACAACTAATTGGACCCATGTTAATTCCAATATTTTCGATATTCATTAAAATATTTGTATATTTAATCATTTCATTTATATATTATGATTTTATACTTAATTCAAAAACGAAATTATTTGTTTTAACTGTTACATTTTTTAAATCAGAGTAGAGATTGGAGTATATACGTCCATTGTTCAGATGTTTTCCCTTCTGCTGTGTTGCCGATTGTGATGCCTTATATATATTCCATAACCTTTAATTAAGTGACAATTTCTTTTTTTGCAGAAGGGTAAGATCCTGAAGATCCGCTTCTCGCACCAGGGACTCAACAAGCCAGTGAACACGGTCTTCGTGGGCACCTCTCCGGAGCTGGAGCTCGCTCTGTATACGGTCTGTTTCCAGCTGCGGCCGGATCGCACCTGTCCGGTGTCCCTCGGAAACAGCAAGTTCGGCATCATCACCTACTCGTGGCGCTACCGAGGAAAGAACCTGATTGGCAGCGCCTATCCGGAGATTTGAGGCAGTGGGCAGCAATAGCTCCTCGCCGTAGTCATCGTAGCAATTTTTTTTCTGTCGCTTTAATAAATAAAGTAAATGTGTGAAAATTTAAACTGGCTTTAACAAAAAACTAACTAAAAATTTACTTAAGCCCAATTACATTTTTTATGACCGCTTTGGTTGTCTAACAAAATTTTTAAGATTTTGAATCGATTTCACATACGCGCGCTTTGTTAAGCAGTTCTTCGCACTGCTTAGCAAGATTATGAGTTATCGTTATCGGTAGCGCTATCGCTCTATTGGAGTTTCAGAGAATTCAGCTTGTTCCTGTTCGTCTTGAAACCGGAAATTGAGGAACTTCTTCAGATCCTTTGTATTTATTTGCCTAACTGTTTTAAAAAGACATCCCCTCACAAGTCATAACGAAAAAGTTTCCACAAATTGATAGCAAACTAGTTTAAACAACAGACGTAAAATTGCTTAAAGTTTTATCGAAATTGTAATTATAGTTTTTTTTTTTAATTTTTCCTAGGCCTGCAGTTACTGACACTTTAAGTACATTAGAAAACTTAAGTACAAAAACTCTATAAAAAATTAATAAAAGCATTAAAATTGTAAATGTTTTTGGAATAACTTTCCAATTGGTCACACTGCCCGGCAATTACAAAATGAACGCGCGTGAGATGAGAAACCAGTTTCAGCCCCAAAACGCGGCTCTTGGGGCCAGGCTTTGAGCTCTCTCTCTCTCTCGCTTAGGGTTGTCAAATATCTTTGAAATATCGATTAGCCGGCATCAACAGTTTTGAAAATATATTATTTAGGGTAAATCAATATTTAGACAAGAAAATATATAATTTTGAGTTTATTGATTAGGCTTTTTAAGTTAAAGTTATTTTGATATTAGAAATAGGAAAATGTTTTGGTACACATCATTTATTTATATACATTAAGGTATAGCGTAGTTTCTACAAAGCTTTAACCTTTACCATTGCTTTAACCAAGTTCGCATAAGCATATTAAAAACTAAAAAATATGCGGTTGCCATAAATATTAGCTTTGTGGGTTTTTGTCTGACTAAATGTAAAACAACAAATAGTTAAGTGTACAATTTGGACTCATTTAACTCTGATATTTTTACGCTCTCGACAGCCCTGTCACTTGAGCGCTCTCGCTCTTTCTCTCCCCAACAAGTGATCTGCGTTGCTCCAGTGGATTTTCAGTGGTTTCGGCCATTCCAGTTGCTGTTCGACTGCCGGAGGAGTTTGTTGTGAATTTTTTTTTTGGTGCGCGGCGTGCCACGGATTACAACCACAACTGAAAAAAAAAACACACACTCAGCGGTCAAATTAAGTTTTGTTTTTTTTCGTTACCCAACTCGCAAGTGCCGTGCAATTATTTGTTCTAATTTGGTTAACCGTAATTGAAAAGCGTCGAAACTTTTTGACAAACAACGTTGCAACAATCAACCAAATCAACGTTTAAAAGAAAAGAATCACAAACATCGAAACAGCGAGAAAGAGGGGCAAAGAGAAGAGAGCGGCAGAAGACACTGCGGATGAAATGTAGCAGAATTCTTCCTCTTCTAATGTTCTGTGTGCGGTGACGAAGTGACGCCAAAAGAAACCGAGAGAAGAGAGTTGAGAAGACGGAGAAGAAGGAGAAGAAGGAGAAAGACGTCAGAAGAAAGAGCTCAAAAAACATAAAACACAAACTCACACGCTGGCAGAACGGTTCACTGTTCACTGAAACGCAAGGCAACAACAAAGCAAGTAAGTTATGCCCAGCGAGCGAGCGAAAGAGAGTACATCTATCAGTAACCTTTTGCTTGCTCTCTTGGAATTCAAATCAGAATCTAAAACAACAATAACAAGTGTGGAGTGCCAATAGAACCAGGATTGCCAGGCGTGTTTATTGAACAAGTTTGACTGTCTATCGGGGGGAGTGGCTCCGATTTGGAGGGGTTAGAAAATCGCCTCGGTTGTGGTATTGAAAGAAATTATTACAAAATGCTTACGAGTAGTCTAGATATGGTGCCTGCCATTTTTAGGATGTGTGCATTTTTCCAGTGGGTGCAAACTGTGACATCTTATCTCTAAAATTCTTTGTATTTGTATGGAGAGTTATAAATTTATACCCATTCAATTTGATCGGGTAAACAAACCTTCTAAGTAGATGAATATGACGCAATTGTGCTGATTTTATTGCAGGATTGATATGAAAATAATAATATGTAACATATAGTATTTAAGTACACGAAAGAGTTATTGATTGTGTTTCCAATAGTTTTTATAAAGGACTACAGTCTTAGTGAGATATTTTAATGATGATGAGAATAATTCAATTATTGCTGCCCTATAAATCTTTTTGTTTAATTCAGATGAAAACAACTTAATGGTTATCGAAATATCTTACAAGTGTTTGGGTAATAGAGAGTCTGAATAATGGATATTCTAGTTTTAGAATGTTAAAAACCACTCTTCCCAATGAAGTCATCGAGATTTATTCCCCGAAAAAATGCACAATCAATCAGTCAATCAATTAATCAGGCTGCCCAATGCCATTGCCAATACCAGCAATGAGCTCTCTGAGCCACCCCCATCATAGCTAATTATAGAGGTAATAAAGATTTTGTATTGCGGTGAGCTCATCGGAGATGCAATCGATTTCTTACCGTTTGCACGTGTTCGGCTCGAAGCTTTTGGATTCTTTGGGCTTGGGCTCGTCAAAAGCCCAGATGCTAACGTGCAGAGATGGCGATGTCAAGACCTGTTCTGTTCACCCAATGCGATCGATTTCAATTTGTGTAACGGCACCTGGGCCCCCCATCCTCATCCTTATTCTCTGCGGTTCCCGATCCGCTGTTGCAGTTGCATAAGCTCGTCCTAACGGTTCTCGAGTGGTTCTATAGACGTTATATTTCGGTTGTATTTATTTTCCCATCCCTACGATCGTCGCAATCGGATGCCTCGATTTGGCTCGTCTCGCCTCGGTTCGGTTCGCTTCGTTTTTGTTTCGATTCGTTTTCGATCAGCGACGTTTTGGCAAATCATGCCAAGCCAAAGCCAAAAGAAGGCAAGAACGCTGCGCTGCCAACGGTATACGATGGCAAACAGTTAGGCGTGCAAAAAGCCAGAAAAATAAAAAAAAAAATTGACGCAAAAGCTATAAAACAAAAAATTGGTGGTGGCGCAAAAGAAAACTGGTTCCGGCCATCGAAGAATGCCGCAGCGGCCACTTGGCCAGGTCCGAATGTCTCTGCCTGCCTGAGTGTAAGTGTATGTGTGTGTGTGTGTGTCTATGTATGCGTGCCACTTCCGTACAACAACGCCCTGACCCCCTCCCCATCCTTAGTTGGCCTCTCTCCCGAGTTCGCGTTCGTTGCCTGAGTCTTTTGTTTTCCCTGCTCTTTGCCGTGTTTTCTTATCGCTGCTATAATTTTATACCCTGGCGGAGGGTGTATTCATTGGGACTAGACCGTTGCATCGCACAGGGGTCAGCGTTAAGAATAATAACAAGCTCATAATCCAATAACAATTCCTTGGGAATTTTATGGGAGAACGGTTTTTATGCCCTTTTGTTGAGAGGTTAAAAATGGTTTAAAATTTTGAAAAATTACATTTCTCCGAAGTCTCCAAGTCCAAAACGTTTTTACAATATCTAAAGGTTTATGGTGTATAACAAGAAATAGAGCCTTTATCATTTTATCATTTTAAAAATCTGTAATTTTCTTCCCAACTAAACCAATATTTTTAAATTTAATTCTTATTTTCCTTTCTTTCATGCCATTAATAGATTTTTTATTAATGAACTCATATTTTTGTGTTTGCTCAAATAAGCTAAGACTTTAAAATCAATTTACTCCAACTTGAAAGTTTTGAGCAAAAGAAAGCAAAAGATTAGTTTAAAAACAATCGAATTAAGTCCATTGATCATATATTTGTAGGCAATTAAAAAATATCTTCAGGAAATACCGTTTTAATCCTTGTGTTAATCAATTAGTTTACGAGGGTATCTAGTATTCCCGCTGTTAGGTTTCCCATCGTGCTATCGATAATTTTGTTTGCTTTTCGCTTTCGTGCTCATTTTCATGCTGGCAAAGAAAAAACCGAGCCACAAATGCTAAAAATGCATAACAAAAGGCAAAGCAAACACCACCACCAATGCCAGCTCACACAATCACTCACACTCTTGCTAATGCGACAAAGATGTTAATTGACTTTTACTTTATTTAAACAAAATAGTCACAGCTCACACAAACAACAACGAACCGATCTCCATTGAGTGAAATTTTTAATTTACGTTTTTTATTAAATTATTTTCGTGTGGTTTTTGTGGCGAATCTCGGCATCTTTGGCGTCATCATCTCGGACAAAGACTTGTGTTGTTGTCGTCATCGATTTCGTTTTTTGACCGAAACCCTAAACACTGTTATTAAGTTTTAATCGATTTGGATGATGCGATAATTGGAGGCATCAAAAATCAATTTCGCTTGGGAACTTTTGATAGCTGATGAATAATTTCATTAAATCGATAAACGAGAATTACATATCTGGGCAAAACTCTAAAATTGTTTTGAGAAAGCCGCGAAATGGAAAATTTGGTTATATATCAATAAAGAAGGTTATTCTTGAGTTGTAATTGCACATGATAAAAATGTAGAAAAGTTCTGATTCTTATAACCCTGCCTTTTTATGATCAACTAAGGAAACTCATTTAAAATGGGATATTTAGAGCTTAAAAATATTTTTGTAGCGTGTAAATAAAAATTGCAATAACATATCCAAATATGGCTGTAACATAAAAAGCATAAAAAAACGAGACTTCTTTCTTCACTTCTTTAATTTCTCTCTTTCATTAATAAAATAAACACTGCTTGAAATTAATGGAGCTATTATTATATGTTCATTAAAATGTAGTCTGAAGTTTTAATTGGGTACTAAATCGATTTCTCTGCAAAACTACATGCTGTCCATGGAAACAGAGCACCATCTTTGGCGGCGGCACCTCCGACAGATTTGCGGCTAAAAATATATTGCAATACCTTTTTGGCCCCGAACTGGCTTGCCCCACATTCCACAACGCCCCCAAAGACGCAGCTGTTTCCCAGCTCGTG